GACTTCAGGAAGACTCACTCCACTCACACACCACTCAGCATCCACGGTTCCATGGTAGAGACTGTTAACAGCACCAAGTTCACATCTCAGACGACCTCACCTGGACCACCAACACCACCTCCATCACCAAAAAGGCCCAGTAGCTCCCCCACTTCCTGAGATACCTGAAGCGGGCCAACCTCCCTCCTCCCACACTCACCATGTTCTACAGGGGCACCATAGAGCGTTCGGACCAGCTGCATCCCCATGTGGTTTGAAAACTGCAAAGTCGGCATCCTCAGCCGGCTACATCTGTCATGGTCCTGGGTCGTGTGACCCAGTGTTTGAGGGTTTTTTTTTATGTATATTCATTTGTGCCCTAGTTTAGTTCATCTAGTTAATTTCTAGGTTGCTGTTTAGTCCTTTGTTTCTTAGTTGTTTATGTCAACTCCGCCTGTACTCAGTCTCCCTGGTTCGTGCGTCTACCTGTCATGCGTCATGTCTGTGTGGTTATGTTAAGTTCATGTCATGTCTAATCTCCATGTTTCCTGTTTTACTTTGAAAGTCTGTGTCCAATGTCAGTGTATTTAGTTTCACTTCTCCTGTCCTGTCTTTAGGTTCATGTGTGTCAGCTGTGCTCCCATGCGTGGCCACTTCCCTTGATCATCCCTTACGTGTATTTAGTCTCTGTGTTTCATTCAGTCTGTATCGCGTCGTCTGTGTTCCCACCCTCCGTGTTTTCACAGCCAGTCTTTGCATTCATAGTCATAGTTTTCTGAGTCTTCATAGTTTATCACAGTGGCAGTTTCCCAGTTTAGTTATAGTTTAGTTCAGTCACTGTGCTTCTGCCTTGTTTGAACTTTATGTCATCAGCCATAATAAAGGCTCTCTTTCAGTTTAAGTCTTATTCTACACCATCATTTCATGTCATAGCCACTTCAGTATTCAGGGAGGGTTACTGATTTTTACAGAAAATATTTGAAAAGGACTCCAGCTTTTACTGAACCTTTCAGTTTTACTGTGAACTTTGGGTTTGTACCCAAACTGTTTGCATAGTTATTCTCAGTTTTTACTCCAAATTCAGATTTTAGATGATTGTAACTGAACTTCTGATCCTGTCCTTACTTAGTCTGTACGTGTACTGGGTTCCACTCTTGGCTTGGACTGGCACAATCATCTCAACCCTGACAGCCTTTGGAACTAAAGACCTGTGGGTCACAAAACCTATGCAGAATACCTGTCAGGGGCTGGGTCTCTGAGCCAGCGTTTTGATTGTATTCTGTATTTTTGAGTTTCTTATGTAATGTTTGTGATTATAAGTTCTTGTGTTATTCTTATTTAGGGTCTCCAGTCTGTCATGTGTTTTAGGTCTTTGTGTTCCATATTGTCAAGCTTGTGTTGTCATATCTGTCTCTCCACGTTTCCTGTTTCATTTCGAAAGTCTTGTGTTTCTGTGTTCAGTGTGTTTGATTTTACTCTTCTAATTTTACTCTGTGACGTTGTTATGTTCATTCTAATCTGCGGTTTCTCCATGTGTCTCCACTTCCCCTGATCACCTCTTGTGTGCGTTTAGTCTGTGTGTTCATGTCGTGTTTCAAAGTTTTTCTATGTATCCGTGCTCTGGGTTTTTCATGTTTTAATCTTAGTTCACCCAGCTTAGGTTATTGGTTAGTTTCGTTGTTGATTTGTTTTTGTTTTTTTACAATTTCTGTTTAATCAGGGAACTGTTCTTAAGAAAAATGAAACAACTGAAACATTTATAAGTGCTTTACGTGCGTCGTCCAACACAAAGTATGATTGGCTGGCTCAGTGAGGTGACAGACACAGGCTGGAGAGTGTATACAGGTTTTTATTTGTTATATTCTGGAATCAGCAACATAAATAAAAGCTTTCATTAAGTTCTCCTCAACACCAGAGCCATTCATCGACAGGGTTCTGGCGAAGCCACACCCACAGGACCGGGCTGAGACTGCGACCTGTGATTCTGTTGGCGAAACGCTGAAATTGTCCACCATGATTGTCTCTCTCTGTGTGCTTCAGGAGAACGAGGATGGCATGGACACCAAGAACAAATGAAGGAATAAATATTCTTCTTCCTGCCTCCCGCTGCTCTATGTACATTATTAACAGTCTGAAACAACCCAGCAGCTGGCCTCGCCCACCTGCTGCGTGACGACACAACAAAGAAACACTGAAAACCACAAAGTGATGGGAGTCAAGGACCAGACGAAGGACAATGTGCTTCGATGCTTCCAGTTCAGTTACTTTTAAATCTGAAGCAGCAGAGATTAAACGTCAGAGAAGAAAACGGATGATGACTCTCAATGTGTCTTTAAACATCTTTAAACATCTAAGTGGAAAAAAACCCAAGAAGGTTAGACCAACCAGAATCATACACAAGTCCTCGGGTGGAAAACATGAAAAAAAATCATCTTTTCATTCTCAGCAATGAACTCTGTGAGTGAGCTCTGGAACAATGGACAGCAATTGGCCTTGAGTTGAGGTTAATTTGAGGATCCAGTTCATCAACTTAATTTGGGTTTATTGGTTCCAGCTTCTCAAACTGGATCGTACTGATGGTCCATGATGACATGATGTATCAGGGATGTATCCTGGTATCTCTCTGCCATCTCTGTGTCCTCCTCACATATTTCTATAACTGATTAAACCAAGCTCTTCTAACACATCCACATGCTGCTCTGTAGAGATTATGGATTCACGTCAGACTCATCAGAGGAAAGTGTTTTGATTTAAAACCTGTGAAAATCATGTTGGCATTTTTACACATAAATAAATGATACACATAAATAGGGATGGGTATTGATAAGATTTTCACGATTCCGATTCCATTTTCGATTCTGTTTAACGATTCGATTCTTTATCGATTCTCTTATCGATTCTTTTTAAAAAAGGAGAACACTAAGGTCGATTAGCTTAGAACTTTGTTTTATATCTTCTCTTTGAACAAGATAGAAATTTAGGAGTAACATGGTCTTACAAACCCAGCAGTGAGATCTTAAGAGATCCAGCCTACGGCTCTTCAATGGGGTGTCACAGGGTCCCCGGGGAAAAAAATTGTAAATGTAAAATAATAAAATAAATATTCTTCTGTAGCAATAACAAAGTATAACATAAATTATTCTGTAGCAATTACACAAGAATATCCAGTAATGTCCCTGCCTACAATTACACACATTCACTTACTGAAAATCATCTGCTGTGGCAAACGGGTGCAAACCTTTGACCACAAACTTAGTCACTGCTCGGTGACATTCGTCTATCCTGGTCTGAAAGGAGACGCTACCGGCAGACTGCAGCGAGAGCTGCCAGCATCTGAGCCAGACTCTGTCTCATCATGGTCACTAAACGCACAGTAATGGCAGATTTGTAATAAGGCAGATCGCGCTAACATAATATGCACTGTTAGTTGATTATTTACCTGCCGCATTAACGGGAGAGGACGTGCAAACGTTACCGCTGCTGCTGGGTTGAGATTCACGAGTCCGGAGCGGAATTAAAAACACGACATTCATTTAAGGTCATCGCGTGTTTTGTGAGCAAATGCTTTTGCATGTTCGTAGTGTTTCCTCCCTTAAATGAAGTATCTACTTTGCAAGTATTGCAAGTTGCCCTGTTGTCATCCGTTCTCGTAAAGTATAACCAAACTTTTGAGCCGCTGGCGCCGTGTTTCCTGCCAGGTAAATGACGCTCCGCAACGTGGTGACGTCATTCGGGGCGACTGGAATCGATAAGGGAATCGTTTGCAAAAATGGCAAACAATTCCAAGGAATTGAAACAGTGGGAACCGGTTCTCAACAAGAACCGGGTTTCGATACCCATCCCTACACATAAATAAAGAAAAATATATTAACAAATGTTGGCATCATTCAGCTTCTAATCATGGCTGTGCTTAATTAAACACAATAATGAGCCTGAGCTCTGATGTCATGTCCCCAACCCCCGGGCCACGGACCGGTCGTTTGGTAACAGGCTGCGAGAGTTGAGGCTCGGGTGTGAACTTTATGGTTTTTATCGTTTTTTAAACCGTTTTTATCGTTAACTCTGTTTCCCTAGGTCTTTTCCTGAGTGTTATGAATAAATCTTCTTTTTTTTGGTAGCGGTACTGTTTTTATTTTGTTGTATTTATCCGCAACACCTTAAAGACCGGTCCGTGAAAATATTGTCGGACATGAACCGGTCCGTGGCACAAAAAAGGTTGGGGACTGCTGATGTACACAACTTGATCAATGGTGAACTAATCACTAATTACTTGCTGTGATCATTTCATACCAGACAGCTGCCAGGACTCACTACATCTTTATAAATAAGCATGTCCGCAGACTCTGCTAATTTTGGCAGACTCAGCTGAATGTCGGCAGACTCTCGGCTGCGTGAATGCAGACTCTCGGCTGCGTGAATGCAGACTCTCAGCTGAGCGTCTGCATACTCTCGGCTGCGTGAATGCAGACTCTCGGCTGAGTGTCTGCAGACTCTCGGCTGCGTGAACGCAGACTCTCGGCTGCGTGAATGCAGACTCTCGGCTGAGCGTCTGCAGACTCTCGGCTGCGTGAATGCAGACTCTCGGCTGCTTGAATGCAGACTCTCAGCTGAGCGTCTGCAGACTCTCGGCTGCGTGTCTGCAGACTCTCGGCTGCGTGAATGCAGACTCTCGGCTGCGTGAATGCAGACTCTCGGCTGAGCGTCTGCAGACTCTCGGCTGCGCGTCTGCAGACTCTCGGCTGCGTGAATGCAGACTCTCGGCTGCGTGAATGCAGACTCTCGGCTGAGCGTCTGCAGACTCTCGGCTGCGTGTCTGCAGACTCTCGGCTGCGTGAATGCAGACTCTCGGCTGCGTGAAGGCAGACTCTCGGCTGCGTGTCTGCAGACTGTCGGCTGCGTGAAGGCAGACACGTGTTCTGACAACTCTGGCTCTGTGATGTCTGCCAGATTTGGTTTGATTTTGGGCCTCTTTGGGGGAAGAGTTGGCAGATTCAAATTGGTGAAGTTTGTTTGGTTAAATAAGTTTTATCATAACTGGCCAGACTATGGCACTCAGATTCAGGCCGAGTGACTTCCTCTGGCCTCCTGGGCTTGGGCCTCTGCAGGGTCAAACCATCTTAGCTACCTTGGTCAGCGTGATCCAGCCACCTCCCAGTCTTGTTTCCAGAGGGATGATTAAGTTCACACTTCTTGACATGACATGAATTCACAAATGAAAGTCAATCTGATTTTAGGGTCCCTTCAATCTCAGAGGTAAGAGGGTTTATGCGAGAGTTAATGATTCTCCGCGGACAGCAGCTTCTTCCTGACAGGTCAGCTGATTTCAACCAGCAATCGGACACGGTTAAAGATTCCTGTACAAAACATGACTGCAAGGACATCCTGTTTTGAATCCTGGCTGTAAGGACTTCCTGTGCTGGTGGTGGGGATGGCTGACAGGTGAGGCGACCCGCTCTGATGGTGTTTTTATCGTTTCAGTTTCATTGAAACAACAAAAGGGTAAAAAAAACACAAAGTGACACGAGGTGAACGCTGAGCGTCGCTCACAGAATCCAACAGTTCAAACCAGGCAGTGTAAACATGCCTTCATCCTCCTCCTCCTCTTCAGTCAGTAGTCTCTCTGCTCCTCCTCCTCTGTGTTGAAGGAGGCTCTAAGCAGAGTTCAGGTACTCCAGAGCGACTTCATAACAGAACTTATACTGTTCCTATGGAAACACAGACATCAGATGTCATTCATTCACATTTTTAAAAAAGAAACACTTTTTATTACACAGTATGATGTAAAAACAACTCAGTATCCACTACGGGTCACTGGACACTCCATGTGTTCAAGTTCACCATCACGGTCTGTTTTCCTGAGGTAGTTCTGGTACAGCTTGGACTTATGTTTTGGGTCATTATGTTGCTGCAGGATGAACCCCTGATCAACTAGGTGCATACAGTATTTGTACTATGCTTTCATGTCAGACTGCAGTGAGACATTAAACTGCATAACTTTCAATAAAAAAATGGGAAAATTGGCCTGTCCTAAAACCCTTTGACCGGTAGTGTATGTTTATAGAATACAATAACTATTATAAAACATAACAGAAAATTATGAATAATAATAATAATATATCATTATTACTGAGAAAATGTTTTTATATTTTAGTCTTAAAAAATACAGTTATGGATTCAGTGTTAAGTTCCTCTTTGATTTACTGTAAAAATACAAATACAAAATAATTTGCTAAACCACTGAAGAAATGGAGAATAGAAATAATAATGATTAAAGTTCAAGCGAGCCAGTGTCTGTGATGAAGGTTGGTGGTTACCAGCAGGTCGACCATGTTTGGCTTGTTGTTCCTCAAAGTTTTTACAGCGTGAAAAACGTCGACGCAGCGCTGCTGACGCAACATCTCACACACGATACTGATACTGCAGAACACACCACTGCGACCTCCGCCATTCCTGAGGAGGAGACAGGACAGAGGAGTCAGAAGAAAGGAGACCTTTGAGTTCTCTGTCAACAGTTACATAAAGTAGCACATAAAAATATTACTGCATATATTCACAAGAACACCCCTCAAAAACAAAAACATTTACAATTGTCATAAACCAAGAACAAGCAAATCATTGTACACTGTACACAAGACATTTGTTTCCAACCAAACAGAAATAAAATGATCCACACCTGCCACCATTATATAAGGACGGGCAAGGACAGAGAGACTCAAGAGGAGCTTCTATCCCCAAGCCATCCGTGCCCTAAACACACAC